GATCACTTCTGTATTATTATCATCATCCTAATCATCATGTATTTTCGTTATCAACATTTATTTTGCCCTGGGTTTTTTCTGCTAAGTAGTTCTCAACGTTTTCTTTCTTTCTAATTTTTATTTTTATAAATCTCTCTCTTTTCTCTCTCTCTCTCTCTCTCTCTCTCTCTCTATTTCATACCTTCTCTCTTTTGTGTTTGCTTTTTCTCTAATCTCTGTCTTTCTTTTATTTCTCCTCACTTTTTCTTTCCATCTCATCATCTCCTGTCCGTCTTGGTAATAATTTTTTTTAATTTTATTCGGCTGGCAGGTTGGTGGATGGCTGAGTGGGTCGGTGGGAATTTTTTGATTGATTGTCCCGCTACTACATCGTCAATCGTTTGCTGGTTCGTCACGATGACGATGACGACGACGAAGATCATGGTGATAATGATGATGGTGATGGCGGTCATGATGATGGTAATGGTGATGATGATGATGATTTTGGTGATGGTGATAATGATGATGGTAGTGATAATGATGATGATTTTGGTGGTGATGGTTGGTTCGATGGAGACAATGATAAGGGTAGAAATTATAAACACTGAGATGAGGATTAAAATAATGATGATGATGATTAGATTGATTGGGCCATTTTTATGATAATGATGATGATATGATGATGATGATGAAAGCGATGAGGATGATGATGATGATGACGAGGATGGGGGTTTTGATAATGATAACGTTCTTATTCACGTCCTTTCTGACTGAATATAACTTAGGAAGATTATGACATGCAACGCCAGTGACAGGGTGATGATGATGATTATGATGATGATGACGACGACGACGATGATGATGATGACGATAATTACGATGACGTCATAATGTGGGTACCGTGCTACGTCAATCTCGCGCGTGCGTTCGATGATATCAAAGATATCGTATAATTGCTCCGCGGCGATGATTATTGCGAATTATTTTATTTTTCGATGCGATCACTAATATTATTGTTATCATTGTTGCTTATGTTATTATTATTATTATTATTATTTTATAGTTATCATTATTATGATGATGTTGTTGATGATGATGACGATGATGACGATGATGATGATGATAGCAGTGGTGCCGTGGAAACCTCATGTGCTATTGTTGCAAAAATTTATAAAAAATTTATTCATCCCCGCATCTGTCCGTCAATCCATCTAGTCATCCATCATTTTTAAAATGCAAGTATTTTATTCTTTTTTTCTCTCTCTCTCTCTCTCTCTTATTCATTTTATCTTTTTTGATCATTCATTCTCTCAATTGACTATTTATTATTTAGCCCATCTGTCTATCCCAGTTCTCACACAATGAATCAACGAAATTTTTTTCTCCATTTTTCATTTTTCCATTTTTTATTTGTTAGTTCGTTCGTTCTTTTGTTTGTTCGTTTGTTGGTGAACACGTTTTACAAAATTTATATTAAATCATTTTATGTTCTATTGTGTTTTTGTTCATTTCGTTTATTTGTTCGATCAATCAGTTATTCGTTTTTTATAAGTCATTTGTTCATTAATTCGATCACTCATTCACTCATTCATTCACCCATTCACCATTCATTCATTCACTCACTCGTTAATTAATTTGTCCAACAATAAACAAATTTTGAATACACTTATCCGTTCATCGCCAATCGGTCATAGCATAGATTCCATAATAAATTCATTTGAATCCAGCCTGGCTATGTAGCTTCTGTCATAAAGCATGAAGCAATTTCCAGATGAGAAAGATGGATGGACGGCGCGAAGGAATGCAAAATTGAGGATTAAGAAGTTGTCGCCGCCACTCTCTCACTCGCTACTGTCGCTACCACTACTGCTACCAATGTGTATTCTACCACTTAATCTACTACTACTACAGTGGCCACTACTGCTACCACAACGGCTACGTTGCTACTACTGTTGTTGTTACTGTTAGTACTGCTACTACAGCTGCCACTGAAGATCGTTCGGTTATGCGGACGTGTTTTGACTCGTTGAAACAGTTCAGTGTGGTACCTCATAAGCGTTATGACTGCAACCACTAATAAAGTTGCTGACGTTGGTGGTGGTGGTGTTGTTGATGTCGTCGTTGTTGTTGTTGTGGTTGTTGTTGCTGTGGTGGTTGTTGTTGTTGTTGTTGTGCCTGTTGTGGTTGTAGTTGTTGTAGTTGTTGTTGTTGTTGTGACTGTAGTTGTTGTGGATGTTGATGCTTTTGTAGTTGTTGTTGTCGTGTCTACTGTTTATACTTGTTCCTTAATTAGTAGTTACTGGGTTTTACAACTATTGTTAGAGGCTAACGAGCGTGGCTGTTGTTTAACTCGTTTCAGAGTGCAATGGTGAAGATTTTTGGCATTTTTTTAAGGATTTAAGAAAACTTGAAAAAATTTATCGAATAAAGAAAATATTGAAATTAATCACCAAATTTAAATATATAAAACTATATATTTAAATAAACACGTTATAATACATTTTTTAAAATCACAAAGACACACGCACACACACATACAAACAGACATATACAAACACATACAAACACTCAAACACAAGCAGACATACACAAACACATTCACACGCAAACACACATACAAACACTTAGATGCTTCTCTTGGCGGCCATAACCTAAACAGTTTGACGCTGCAGTTCATCGTCGCTGGTAATTGTCGGCTACGGGTTTCAGCGGTGGTTGAAGTCGTTTCGAGATACTTCTTTGCTATCTACATGTCTTCATACAAGATGCCGTTAAAATCTCTCTGTAATGATTACTGTGAATATAAATATAAGGAAGAAAAATGTAAGGGAGATAGATAGAGAGAGAGAGAAAGATAGAAAAAGAGAGAGAAAGAGAGTGAGAGAGAAAGAGAGATAGAGAGAAAAATACTAGGATGAACAAAAATTATACAAACAAGAATAACAAAGAGGGGAAGAGATAAAAGAAAAGTAAAAATAATAAAAATTGAAAAAAAAAGAAAAAAGAAAGAAAGAGAGAAAGAGAAAGAGAGGAAGAGAGAGAGAGAAAGAGAGAGAGAGAAAGAGAGAGAGAGAAAGAGAGAGAAAGAGAGAGAATAGAAGCTATCCTGACAATGATTGCTTGAAAGCGCGTTACGTCCGAGTTGCTTCTGACAGAGTCCTATATTCAAAATACAGTACTGAACCAACATTCCAAATGGCCATAAAAAGTTTAATAATAATAATATTATTATTATTATTATTACTATTATTATTATTATTGTTGTTCTCTCCATTTAGCGTAAAGAGAAACACACTCCAAAGATATAGTAGAGAAGTAATGCAAAGAACAGAAAACATCTGATTAAAGCTTATCTTTCAGTGTTGTTTATTTTCTCTGAGATTTCTTTGTTGTTGTTTTTTTTGTGTTCATTGCATTTTTTGTCAATAAGTTGTTGTTGTTGTAGCTGTAGAAGTAGCAGTAGTAGTAGTAGTAGTAATAGTAGTAGTAGTAGTAGTAGTAGTAGTAGTAGTAGTAGTAGTAGTAGTAGTAGTAGTAGTAGTAGTAGTAGTAGTAGTAATGGTAGTTGTAGCAGTGGTAGCAGTAGAAGTAGCAGTAGTAGTAGCAGCAGTAGCAGTAGTAGTAATAGTGATGGTAGTAACGGTAGTAGTAGCAGTAATAGTTGTGGTTGTTATTGTTACAACCAATTGTGAATACCTTTTTTAAAATGTTCTGTTGATATGTTTGTTTATGGGAACAAACAACCTGCTAATTTATATCGTTGGTGGTGGAATTTTTTGTTGTTGTTTTTTATTGTTGTGGTTATTATTTTTTTTATTGTTGTTGCTGCTGTCGGTTGCCGTGGTTACGAGTTTCAACATTATTGTTTATGTTATTTACGACGATGGTGATAATTATGATGACGACGATGACGACAACAACAAAAATGTTGATGATGATGAAGACTTGCACAATATTTTTGTAAGAGCAGATGATGACGGTACTGTTGATATTGACATTGGCAATGATAATAATGATAATGTCTGATAGTTTTAATGACGTAACCATGACGACGACGATGATGATGACGACGACGACGATGATAATTTCCTGACGTCAGTGATGACCAAGAGGACGACGACAACTGGGAGGGAAATAAGAAGCTGTTATCTCGTAGGCTAAATGCTATTTAAGCCCAGCTGCGCTATAGAGGTGATGAAGTTATTGCCAGATATGTAATGTTTGTTTATGTTTGTTGATGTCGTCTTTGTTGTTGCTGCTGTTGTTGTTGTTGTCACTGTTGTTGTTGTTGTTGCTGTTGCTGTTGTTGTTGTTATAAAAGCAAACTCTTTCGCGCTGATACGCTAACTGCCTTCCATAATGCCTCAAACTATTCATGGTTGTGCTGATAAACGGATGCCTTATGATAAAAATTTTTGTTGTTGTTGATGACGACGACGATGGCGATGATGATTGTTATAACAACAATGACGATGATGATAATGATGATGATGACGATACTACTGATAATGATGACGACGATGATGACTGTACAAAGTACTATGCAGGCATTGCGACAAAGATTTTTTCAAAGTCATATTTCCCCATAAGCTCTTTACATTTCATAAATTATTTCATAGCTATCACTTAGCAGACATACACAAGTAAAAATAATTTTGCAACAAAAATTTTTTTGCCTCGTTACAAAAAAAATAAAGATGTAATAAAAAGTTTGTGTATGGTGAAATTAACAAAAAAGTCATATAACATCAAAATTGGCTTCTTAAAACACAAACATGGACAGAAATCATGTGGACTGCATTTTTTTCAAATAATTTTTTCATTTTTATCTCAAAATCTAAAAAACTATTTCATTATTATTTTAATACTTCCAATATTTTCAAATTAATTAAATTATTAAGTTTAATAACAAACAAAAATACAAATAACCAAAGACCGAGACCAAAATTATTAATTTCAAATACACTTAATATGTCGCCATGGGGAAACGGAAATAAAAAAAAAGATACTAAATAAATAAACAAAAAAAAACAAAATTCACATCCGCGGACCATTTTGACGCATGCGTGACATCACCTACTACGTCAGAAGACCACGTGATCAATCGCGTGACGTCACCTTCGAGTCGTGCGTATGTTCATGTTGTTTATGGGGCCATGGGTAGGGAAGGAAAAGGTTGTTTATAAGCTTCGTGGTATGTGTTAGTGACGTTAGCAGGTTTCATTATAGCAGCATTCAAGCCGATTGCGCGTGTGCCTTCAGACGTTAAGCATTTTTGGTTTTTTTTTAGTATTTTATTGTTTGGTTGAATGAAGCTAGTTAGTGTTGTGGTCGCAAACTGAAAATGAATGGTTGATTGATTGACTGACTGACTGATTGATTGATTGATTGATTGATTGATTGATTGATTGATTGATTGATTGATTGATTGATTGATTGATTGATTGATTGATTGATTGATTGATTGATTGATTGATTGATTGATTGATTGATTGATTGATTGATTGATTGATTGATTGATTGATTGATTGATTGATTGATTGATTGATTGATTGATTGATGGTTTGATTGATGGTTTGATTGATGGTTTGATTGATGGTTTGATTGATTGATCAGTAAATCAACGTAGATGAAATCAGGCCGTCATCAGTATGGCGGCAGTACTGACACAAATGAAATTTGATGTGTGTGTGTGTGATTGTGTGTGTGTGTTTGTAATGGAAACCTCGGTCTTATTACTAAGCAACGTGTTGATCAACTTGTACAATCTAATGTACATTCATAATTTTGTGTACATCTTTTGTACGCTATTAAAAAACCGCAAGATGACCCGTTTAAAACAAACATACATTTAGACAGTCAGGTAAACAGATAGACAGATAAACGAAGAGACAAACAGGATGAATAAATAAGCAAACAAAGAAAGATACAGGCAATCAGATGGATTGATAAATGAGGAGACAGAGGAATACAAGAGCAGACTGACAGATGGGCCGACAATTAAACTGATGAGTAGACAGACAGACAGACAGACAGACAGACATACGCAAAAGATGAAAAGATGGAGAAATGTTTTTCTGATATGAAATTGATTTAGTGGGGAGGAAATATTATTCCGTATAAAGTAAATATTAACGTTGTCCTATCCGTGGCTCTGATGCCGTTAACGCTGCTAATGCTCATGTTGTTGGTGTTGTTATTATTATTGTTGTTGTTATTGTTGTTGTCGCTGATTCGTTGTCAGTTTCAGTGTTGTTGTTAAGGTTGTTGCGGGTGTTATTCCCAGTATTGTTGCTAACGTTGTTGTTGTTGTTGTTAAGGATGATGCTGACGATGATGTTGTTGTTGTTGGTGATAATGATGAAGATAACGATGTTGTTGTTGATGATGATGATGATGAGTATGACGATGATGAATTTTGTAGTGATGATGATGACAACGAGGATGATGACAATTTTCAATTATTGGTAATAATGTTACAATATATAATGATAATAAATACAGTTGAAATCGTCCTACGTCCAACTCTCACAACTCACATGCATTCAACTTAACTGACATCCAAACTTTCGTTTCTGAAACTGCAATCGTTATTATTTCTTAATTAAGCAACGACAAAAAAACCAAAGCAACACTACACAAAAACGACCAACAAAACAACCAACCAACAAAACAACAAACAGACAACAAAACAACAAACAAACAAGCAAACAACAAACAACTAACAAAATAACCATTCAACAGAAAACACCCCCTCCCCAATCACATTCCCTGGATCCGGATTCATCACATGGAACCTCAAACAGACAGGCAACTTTTTTCTATCCAACGTCGAAATCATTTCTATGTACGTCAAAACCCCCTCTGCTGCTACTTCGACTACTACTACAAGTGGTACAAGTGGTAGCCACATTAGGAACCGTAACAATAGTAAAAATAGTAATAGCGATTATAGTTTTGATAAAAATACTATTAGTAATAGTAGTAGTAGTAGTAGTAGTAGTAGTAGTAGTAGTAGTAGCAACAGCAAAAGTGGTAGTAGTAGCAGCAGCAGAAAGTCTGAAGATAATTACAATGGAGACAACAGGAAACAGATTTTATACTCAGCAAGTAAGTTATTATTATTATAATAATAATAATTATTAATATTATTACTATAATGGTTTTATATTGATAATAAGAAATTGTAAATACAAAACCAGAATTGTTGGAAAATAAATTTGAAAATAAAATATTAGTTAGACACGTTCGTTAAATCAAAAAATTTTATCCCGAAAAAAGAATAAGGAAACGAGTTTACGTTATGCCCACGCAGGCCTTTACATGTTAAAGAATTTATTTTATGTAGAAAAAACATTTCCTTCCTAAACTTTAAAAGTTAGTTTCGGTCGGAAGCAGACCTAAAAATATTTTGTCTTTCCATTCTTTTTGTGGATTAGTGTGTGTGTGTGTGGTGTGTGTGAATGTGTGTGTGTGTGTGTGTGTCTATAAATCACACAGAAATCATCATTAAAGTGATAAAAAGATAAAGATAATAAATGTGCGGTATGAAAAAACATGATGACAATGATGATGTCAATTAAGAGGCTGTTTAATGGTGACGTCAACAGATACGTCATCCATTTTCTATGTTTTAATCTGTCTCTTTAATTACATTTTCTAAGAAGTTATTTTTCGTGCATCGCGTCAGGTTACGTTATGAAGGTGCGATATACTATCTAATAAACATTTATTTGAAATAGTATCTGATACAATCATTTTATTATTAAATTTTTTTTTTCTAAAAACTTTTGATAAAAGTTTTTTTACTAAAAAAATTGACCTGTTAAAAACTGAATTTCAATCTCGCCATTAATCAAAACTTTGATTTTTTTCAATTTTGAACACAAAACAGAAATTAAATGAAAAAAAAAACAAAAAAAACAAAAGAGAAAAACAAAGCATCTTCTGTTTATTTTTCTTTTCAAAGATGATTTTCCCAGATTTTTTGAGGTTTTTCCAGCATCCCATGCGGTTCAGACTGTCAGAAGATGGTCGTGGGAGATGAGCCTTCCGCATTCGATATTATTCATTCTTTGCTTCTCTATGATCTTTTATTTCGTTTTTTTATTAGGTTTTTATTGTTTTATCAACTTTTTTTTGTTTTGTTTTTATCTCTCTTTCTCTCTTTTTCTTTCTTTTTCATTTTTTACTATATTTTTGTTTTGTTATGTCGGTTATGTTTTTGTTGTTGAATATTTTATAGTCTTTCATTGCATATTTTGCGATAATATTTTTTATTACCTCTTTTATTGATCCACATGTAAAAAAATTTTTTAAGCAAAGTATAGATTTTTACTGCTGAAAGATGAGAAGATTATTAGTGGCTACGTGTTGCAACCAAACCTAAAACTGCCATTAAAGCGATATTATTTCAACAATATTAAAATATTAAAACAATATTATCATTAAATCACAACTTACAAACTATACTTCGGATACTTATAATACTATACTTGTAACTTCAATGTTTCTCTCTCTACATAACTACAAATACAACAAAAGTTGGTGCTTTTGTAGTTCATTACAAGTGTCACTTTGTGTTTCATAAATAATCAACTATAAAATGAAAGCACTGATACCATCCTACAAGTTCACCAAAAAGTGCAAACGTTTACGAGTTATTCGGATTTATTTTCGATTAGTATTCAAGAGATTAAGTTGAAAGACTGACAACTGAGATACAAATAGACATTTGTAAGTATTATTAATTGTCACAAACAGCACAATTTCACAATAACATTCAAGTTATTAATAATTTTATACTAAGATTATTTTAAATTTTTAAAATTGAATTTTCAACAATCCTTTGGTGATTTTCTGGAGAAATTTTTTTTTTACGCTCAATAAATTTAAATGTTCTCAAAGCATTAGACAAGGAAAACAAAAAAGTTAGCGCCGCATAAATTCGTGACGTCAGTGTGCGTTAGATTAATCACCGGTTTTTCTGAACTTTCACCCTCCATTAAAGCGGGAGAGATCATGAAAGATTGAAATCTCCAATCGGAGGGAAGGAATCGTTCGAAGGACGATAAGTTAGGCTGACTTGAACAATTAGTTGAGGAAATTTAAACGCGCAAACATAATATACACACGCACGCACGCACACACCACACACGCACACACACGCACGCACGCACGCACACACGCACGCACACGCGCTCACACTAATAAACAATCGCGCGCCTGCCAGTACAACGTTCATTAAAATGATGAAATTTTAATAATTTCTTTGAAAGCATCTCTCTTTATCGCCCATACGCACGAACATCTGCTGTGTCTATGCCCAGCTTGCTAACATTTCTATGGTCAGATAGTGTTGCTGAGATTGATACAAAATTGTTCCTACTGGTTTCTGGTGGTGCTGTTGTTTTTGTTGTTGTTGTAGCACGTGTTGTCGGGCTGTGTTGTTAGATGCTGGCCTCGTTGAATGTTGGTTCGTCTCTTCCAATTTGTGTTGGTCGTGTTGTTGCATGCATGTTTCGAAATGTAAGCAGTTGGCAGGTTTGCCTACTTTTCCATTGATATCAACAAGATCGTTTGATTGGTTTTTGCTGGTTATCATCCATTCAGATGCATTGTGGATCAGCCAAACTCTACATGCACCTACATACGCCCGATACAATCATCCTCTACGTTAAACTACGCCATACATTCTCTCCTTCTTCTACTGAGCACAGTTACAGTAACATTTCTACTCGAGATTTTACACCACAAAGTTTTTTATTTCGACATAATTTATAAAATTTTTTTAAAAGCAATGAAACATACAAACACCTCAAAACAAAGATATGCATACATTAAAACGTTAACCAGCAAATACCATACAATAAGCAAGGAGAATTTATATATATTTATATTTATACGCACGTACGAGAAAGATGCGTGTACGTATATGCATTTCAAGGACAAATTGTACACGTAAGATAGTACAGTACGGGCGGGTGGATTTGCTTATAAAGCAGCGGTTGATGTTGTTTTAAATTCATTTAATATGTCAACGCTCTTCCATAAGAATAATGTGATTACGTATATATGAAATGGATGTATGTGCGTGTGATTGTGCGTGTATGTGTGTGTTTGTGTATGTATGTACGTATGTGTGCGTGTGTGTGTGTATTTATGTATGCATGTTTGTTTTTGTATATGTATATGTTTGTCTGTGTATATTTGACCGTGTTGTCCTGTTAATCATTTATCGACTACATGTGTTGTGTGTGTGTGTGTTTGTGTGTGTGCGTGTGTGTGTGTGTTTGTGTATGTGTGTGTAGGTGTGGTGATGAATAGGGCTGGTTGTATTTATCGGACGCGTGTGTACGTATGTTGTTCGTGACTGCTGCCTGTGTTGAAATGTTTTAATGCTGTTCATTAAAATTAATGCAAGTGCACATTTTTAAGACAACATTAACAACAACAACATTAACAACAACAACATTAACAACAACAACATTAACAACAACAACATAAACAACATAAACAATATCAACAACATCATCAACAAAAACAACAAAAAAAAACAACAACTAAAACATCATCATTAACAACGACAACACAACAGCATATCAACAACATTAACAACAACATCAACAACAACATTAGCAACATAAACAACATCATCAACAACATCAGCAACATAAACAACATCATCAACAACAATATCAACAACATCATCAACAACAACAAAAAAACATCAACTAAAACATCATCATTAACATCGACAACACAACAGCATATCAACAACAACATCAACAACAACAGCATCAAAGACAGCAACAACAACAACAACACCAACTCGATGACAAAACATCAGCGGTCATTATTATAACTCATCTACGGAGCCAGAGTAGTTACACGCAATATCAAACGACCACAACTCCTTTTTATTATGACGTCACAATCATCAAAAACATTGTTGTAACACGTCAACACGTTAACAAATGCTACATTAAAAATATATCCAATAACAGAATGAACACAACAACAAAAATCATCATTATCAGCACAATCATCGTCATTATCTACATCATTATCATCATCATCATATCATCATTTTCTTCTTCTTTTTCTTCTTTTTCAACATCATCATAATCATCTTTTCCTTTATCATCTTCTTTTTCTTCACCATTGTCATCGTAATCATAATCATCATCATTATCATCGCCATCATTATCAACATATTCATTATTTTTTTTCCATCATCATCATCGTTACAATCATCATCATGATGTGCACGGACTCCTAATCATCATTTTTTTCATAACCAAAAACTTTCCCCAAAAATTTTTCTGTAATCATCATAAACATCAATGCTTCCCTGTCATCCTTCTCTTCCTCATCATCATCATCATCTTCCTTCTCATCATCATCATAACCATCATCTCCATTATCACCACCATCACCATCATCATAACCATCATCATCATCTTCATAACTATCATCATCATCACCGCCACCACCATCATCATCATCATCACCACCATCATTATCACCGTCATCATCATCATCATCATCATCATCTTCCTTCTCATCATCATCATAACCATCATCTCCATTATCACCACCATCACCATCATCACCATTTCCATCGTCATCGAAATTTCGCAAATCTCTTTGACGAAGTTCTTCCATTTAAAGATGTTACTGCATTTATTTATAATTATTATCACTTATAAAATCGAGAAACCAAAACAAACTAGTTATCATATAATTATAATTATTATTATATTATATTATTATATATTATTATTATTATTATTATTTAGATAAAAGAATAATAATAATAATAACAATAATAATAATAATAGCAATATTAACAATAATAATAATTCATTCAATTCAATGATCCTCTCAAGGTATCCCTTAAGGGACCGTTGAGGCCGATGGTATTCTTCTATCTCTCCAAAATCCTTTTCCTTCCCTCGCCATCTTCATTGAGCCCAATGTTCCAACCCCCGTCCATTCCGTGATATCATCCATCCACTTCCTCACAGGTCTTCCCACTTTTTTCTTCCAGTCCCTCTTTCTCATCAGTACTTTTTTGATCAGTCTGTCGTCTGTCATTTTGCAGATGTGCCCAAAGATACCCAGCTTTCTTTCCTTGACACTTTCATACACAGTTTTTTGTCTTCCAAGTTGTATTCTTATGGCATCGTTTCTTATCTTTTGTCTCCAACTGATTCCCAGCAACTTTCTATAACAATGCATCCAGTTTGTCTTTGTCTCTTTTCTTCAACGTCCAAGCCTCACATGCATACATCAATGTAAAAAACACACACGCTTCTACGATCTTTAATTTTGTTTTTGTAGATACATTACCGTTTTTCGATATTACTTTCAAAGATGCAAACATTCCTCTCGCGATTTCTATTCTTCTATCAATTTCTTTCGAACAATTATTGTCATCAGTTATGAGGCTGCCCAGATATATAAATTGGTTCACTTGTTCGAGCTTTTCTGCTCCTATCTGGAATTCATCATTAATAATAATAATAATAATAATAATAATAATAATAATAATTCTATGATCACGCATTCGATGACGTCATCTGATGATTGATAAACAAAAACAGTGCAGTTATGCACGTGGACATAGGTAACAAGAGTGGATAGGGATAATTTTTTGTATCCTAAGGAAAGATGGCAGATAATTCGATGAATTTTTTTATTTTGATTGCGATATCACAGCGCTAAATTTGTGTTTCGAATTTTAAGTTTAGCAGTTTCAGTTAGCAGAAAAATGTTTTTCAACATCATTGGTGGTTGTTTGTTGGGATGAGTGCGTGCGCTGGTTATCAGGAGCTCTCATGACGGAGAAAGTTGTGGCGTTCGTTTTGTTTCGCCAACTGATATGCTGATATATGATACGATATGATATGATACGATATGACATGATATGATACGAAGTTGGTTTCAAGTGCAAACTAAATTTCAATTGTGGCGTGTTAGAACGAGTGGTGCATGAGTGCAAATGTCCGTGTTGAGTGTGCTGTTTGAATGTTCAAACGATAGCGCCAGATAGAACTTGATAACCTTCAAAATGTGATTTTGAAGGTTATAGGTTTTGATAGCGCCAGATAGAACTTGATAACCTTCAAAATGTGATTTGATTGATTGACTGATTGATTGATTGACTGAAGTTATTTTCATCTTGAATGGCATTGAACCGTTAATCGATTGCAAGGTTATTTAAACTGACACCCAACTGAATGGGTTTCTATGGACAGACGGATGAGGAAAAGAACTGCACAAAAAAAGTAATAGCAATGAAAGATTAGATGGAAAGATGGCTCCATCACAGTGAAATGTTCCATGTCACAATAATGATGCCTCCGATAGGAATATTTCTCCTTCTGTTTTAAATGCAACTCAAAAAAAACCATTGTACGTTATTCGTAGAAACGTGTTCGTGGTTTTACTTCGTTTACACACGTGCCTGCTTAGTGAACGCTTGAAGCCAGGAACATCATTTGTCTGTCAACATTTAAAATTAAAAATTTTCAAGTCGGAGAATTCTCACATGTTTGCCGAACAAACACTCGCTACTTACGTCTCTGCACGTGTTTATTCAATTTTCAACCAGTCACCATTAGCAAAAAGACTATGCACCATGCACCATGCACAATGCACAGCAATGAAAAAAGATGCAAAGCACATGAATGGCCACCTACTTGAACGCTCCATGCCTAAGAAACAATTAGAAATATAAAATATAAGAAGGTTATCAAATGTATTAAAGGACAGAAAAAAACTCCAACTGGTGGTTAGAGACTAAAAAATTCGAAAACATTTGTGAACATTTGCAAACCATTGTGAACTTTCACAGAAAGTTCAATTTATTGGATGTCATTGAAGTAATGCACAACGAAATAAAAGACATACATGCATAACAGTGTGTGAGTTGTGTGTGTGTTGTGTATGTGTTGTGTGTGAGTGTGTGTTGTGCGTGTTGTGTGTGTGTGTGTTGTGTTGTGTGTGAGTGTGTTTTCTTTCTTAAATAACTGATAACTAAATAATAGAATACATTTAAAAATTTAAGAGCCGAAAATGTTAAAAAACATGCATGTGTGAACGATTTACTTAATTAAATAAATTACGTCATTATTATTTTTCCTTTCAAATTTATTTCCAGTAAATTAAATTAAATGAATAAATGAACGCATAATACATTAGGCAATTATTTCATTTATTTATTTATTCATTCATTCATTCCAGCCTCGTCAGAGACGGACTTCACAATTGAATTAACCGGGCATTCGTTGGAAGTATCAATGGCCATCAAGCAATCATCATCATCATCATCATCTTCATCTTCATCATCATCATCATCTCCTTCTTCTTCATCATCCTCATCCTCATCGTCGTCATCATCATCTTCATCACCACCATCACCATCATCATCAGCTACATTAAAATTGCAAGTTTCATACAGAGAAGTTTATCTGAGTGATGGTGGCTGGCATGGAGTGGTGGTCGAAAGAAGGGTGAGGGAGGTGAGTCCATTATTGGATGGATGGACGGACGGATGGATAGATGAATGGATGGATGGATGGATGGATGGATAGAAAAACTGATCGACAAATGAATGAAAGATGGACAGATAGGTAGAAAAATGGTCGGCCAGATAGATAAATGGATGATTGGATGAATGAATGAATGAATGAATGAATGAATGAATGAATGAATGAATGAATGAATGAATGAATGAATGAATGAATGAATGAATGAATGAATGAATGAATGAATGAATGAATGAATGAATGAATGAATGAATGAATGAATGAATGAATGAATGAATGAATGAATGAATGAATGAATGAATGAATGAATGAATGAATGAATGAATGAATGAATGAATGAATGAATGAATGAATGAATGAATGAATGAATGAGTGAATGAATGAATGAATGAATGAATGAATGAATGAATGAATGAATGAATGAATGAATCGATTCATAAAAAATAGATAGATAGATGAGTGGAAAATAGTTGATGAAAAAGAAATGAAGTTTTTTTTATTCTATGATGATCAACTTCAATTGTGCCCAGCGAAGCAGAAAATTAAAAGTAAATAAATAAAAAAGTTTAAAATATGAATTTCTGGCTGGGAAGGAACTTCAAATTTTTCATACCTAAGTATAACAGATTGAAAAATGTTAAAGACAAATAGCTAAACACAAATAGCTAAAATAAATACATTATATAATAATAATAATCTACATTGAAGTTGTTATTTGTAATCCACTCATCAACTTGCCATATTTGCCACTCATTGCCACAGACCGTTCAAATAATGGTAACAAAGACCTCATTACAATAGAGTCAATGTATTTATACGCTTCAACATAATGTAACCAAAAACTTATTGTTGTAACTGAATACTTAATGTAGCAACTAACTATCTTAATGTAACGAAATGGCATCAATAGCACTTTGCATTGCATAAAAAACTATCGGGCATTTTCATTGGTCCGTATGCTACTTAGTGGAATAAATTTGATAACTGTTTTCTCAGACGAATAGAAAATGTTGAACGGATGAAGTTGAAGACAGAAAACAAACACACGCACGACACATGTAAAAACACACAAACATATGTTCACAAACACACAAAGATACATTAAAAAACACAAACACGCACTCAGAAACACACAAACAAACACACAAACAAACACACACACAAACACACACTCAGATAGACCATTTTCCACTATACAAACACGCACATGTAGAGGCGTACACACGATCTTCAATGAAACGGAACGCAACATGATGAAAATGGATGGAAAGATAGAGACGAGCGAGTGAGGAAAGAGGAGGAAAGAGTGTTAAGAATAAATGAAGCAGAGAGAGAGAGAGAGAGAAAGAGAGAGAAAGAGAGAGGGAGAGAGAGAGAAAATAAAGAAAAAGACAGAGGGAAGGAGAGACCGAGTGAATGATAATAAACAAAGCAGAGAATAAGAGAATGATTCATTCAGAAGAGAGCGTTGGCGGACATTTTTATTTTTAATCAGGTGCTTCTCTTCAATTATTCAAATGTTCGTTAGCTCAGCCCAGACAATGTTCAAGACAGTTGGCTGGTATGTTTATGGGTCGGCCAAATCGTTTGTTGCTTTGCTAAATGATCGCTTGATCAGTTAGTTTACTCTCTTGTTTGGAGGTTTTTTTACATTGGTCAGTTTATTGGTCAGTTTGTTACTTAGTTGGTTTTTTTTATGTAAAATGTTGTGTGCAATTTGCATGACCATGATAGACCCTTTCATGCCCACGTAATTAACTTAAATTTTTGAGTATATTTTTATAGATTTTTTAAATAAATTTTTTTATGATTATCTTATTTTATGGAAACGTGCACTTTTTGTAATACTATGTGTCGATACAATTGAATGGGTGTGCTCAAATGCTTGCCTGCCTATTTTGTAATAATGTTTGTTTGAATTCATTAACATAATTTTCAATTTAGTTTCACTTTAATAATTTTTAATTCAATTAATTTTAATTAAAATATTTCACAAGCTCGTCAGTGGAAAGGGAATCTGTGATGTGAGTCATTTCTCTTACCATTAAATTTTCGAATTATTTCCACCAATTAAATTATGCAATTTGTATTGAATGGATGGTAAAACACGCTTTATAAAATCTATAACTTGCTTCTTATAGAACGAAATATAACTGAACACATTTAAATTTTTTTAAATACCCATCTTTGACAATTCTTTGGTCCGTATGTCCGTTTTGTATTGCTGGCATGTTAATGAAACCAACAGAAAAAACATTAGGCAATAATATCGGTAAAATTGTCATTAACATTAATAATGTAATAATAAATAACTGTAACATCAGAGGCATAATCACATCAGAGAGTCGTCAGATTACATTAACATTCGCAAAACTAATCATAATTCGATTAGCTAATGTCCTATGGTATTCAATGTATCTCGAACACGCGTACGCTTTTTCTATCTCTCTCTCTCTCTCTCTCTCTCTCTCTGTTTAGGATAGAATCCTGCTTGCAATTGAATACACACGAACACGCAACACACACACGCACACACGCACGCACACACACGCGCGCACACACGCGCGCACACACGCACACGCACACTGACCACCAGGTGAACGTGGAGATCGATGGACTGGTCAAGAAAAGTGGCACCATCGTTGTTAGTGAACTGTTGGGTTTTTCCAGTGATGTCATTACAGTCGGGGGAATTCCCAAAAAACGCCTCCAAAAAGCTGTTCGCCGTGATGATGACGATGATGAAGATGATGACGATGATGAAGATGATGAAGATGAACGTTACAAGAAAAAGAGTGGAGGTGGTTATGAGGGCTATTTAAAGGACTTCAAATTCTTCCGTGGTTGCCTCAAACAAGTGAGCGGATAGATTAAATTTTGTTAGTCTCTCATTTTGATGCTGCAATGATTTGAGGGCACTCCTCTTGCTGGATTGATGTCTTGTGGGTGATAAAACTGTTATATCTGTCATATACTTTAGCTTATTTTACGTTATTTCTCCTATAAAATTTACCATGATCGCTTGAATTAAACTTAGCCCATGTAGAATAGTAATGAAACCAGAATTATTTTAACTTTTTGTTTCAATTCATCATCCGTTGATTGACTAGTATTTGTTGTAAATCACGTCACTTGTGCAGATAACATTAAAATTTGATAACATTCACATCGATGTTTTCAACCAACTACAATTGAACTCTCACACGTACAACAAGGATGTCTCCATCAGTCGTAACATCTACAACCGCCATGTAAGCAACAACAACAACGACAACGACAACAACATCATTAACAACGACAAATCGTTCAATAATAGATCTCCCAGCATATCAAGCCAGAGACATAAAAGTCTCCTGAAATATTCATTCCATCCCATTGGCCAAGTAACGTTAAACAGATGCGACCTAGCGAATAATAAAATCCCACAATTCAGATTCAATCGCCGGAGTAACAATGGCCTCTTAAATTTTTTTCCATTGAAGCATTCGCCAGGTGGTTCATTATCGTCAAGTTTTTTTTTCGAAACGGCGAGCAGGCACGCACTCCTGGCCGTGATAAACTTCAAAAGTGTTTGCTCTGGTACAGAAGATGATGATGATGATAATGGTGATAATGATGATGATAATGATGATAATGATGACGAAGATGGCGGGGAATTTATGGCATTAGAGTTAGTCGATGGTTAGTTTCACTTTCCATTCTTCTCTGCTTATGCTTAGTTTGTTGATATCTTTCATCATTTGATCAAGATGAACAGTTATTCGTTGTTTGCGTTGGGATCATTGTGAACATGGATGAAGTTTTCAAAGCAGAAACTAAAGCATGATTTAAACTAATTTATCTTTTAAATTCTTTGAAAATCATTTCTGGACTGTTTACTTGAGGCCTACAAAACATCAAAATAAGTGAAAATAACTTAAAAAATTAAATTAACTTAAACTAAAAAATAAGCAAAAAAACCAATTTTAAAATTAACATCGATTGTTAATTAAATAACTGAATTAATTAGAACGAAACTTTAGCAACTAAACCTAACGTAGCGGAACCGGCTGTAAAAACAATTACTGAAAAAATAAACGTAGAAGAACATTATTTATAAAAAGGAATGTTTCAGACAGCTTGCCTTGGAAAATAAATATCTTAGCATAAAAAACTAATAGGGCGAAAAGGTTTTGAGAAACTTAACAACGTCACGAACAACAACACAAAACCAAAAACAAAACAACATAAAGAGCACTCACCCTCCAATCTAACAACAACAACAACAACAGCTCAAATTGTGTAACACACACAGGCAACAATAAAATACATTAATAAGAATATATGATAGTGATGATGCTGATGATGATTAAGATGACGATGATTAAGATGATTAAGATTAAGATGATGATTAAGATGATGAAGAGAGTAAATATGGTGATAGTGACAGCCACGATAATGACGATGATGATGATGAAAATGATGATGATGATGATGAGAGTAATGGGGATGATGAAGAAGATGATGATGACGATGACGCAAACGAAGCAAAATGACAAAGTCTCTAATGAAGCGTGTCTCATAAAAGCGCATTTCATTAAATTAAATAGGCCCACAAGTTATCTACGATCCAGTTTTCATCGTCATCCTCGTCATCACCCTCTTTACAGCTATAACTTTTTTTGTAATCATTACCCTTACCACTAGCATTGTTATCATCATCATCGTTTACACCAGCATCATTACTATCAATAAAGAAATCAATCAACCAACTAATCTATCATTACACCATCCAACCAACCATCCAACCAATCATTCAACTGACCAACCAACCAGCCAACCAACCAGCTAACCAACCAACCAACCAAAAAACTAGCCAACCAACCAATCAACCAACCGAGCAAGTATAAAATAAGATGGTCCCACAAAAACATTATACCGTCATCAATCACTGTTAGCTTTTCGATTCATTAACGCATGCACACTGTGCACTGAAAATATACACGCATACATAAGCACAAATATAAACATACAAACAAACAAACATACAAACAAACAGCCATACGAACGAACAAACAAACATACAAACAGCCATACAAACAAACCAACAAATACAAACATACCTTCATGCATACATGCATACCAGTACAATATACATACACACATATATACAATACAATACATACATACAATGTAGAGGCATCTGACTAATCACTGTATCCATACATACAAATATAATCCTATCGGCTTATTTTGCACGATTATTTTGACGGATTGAAATTAGGCAATTATATTAGAAAGTGACCTGAGCGCAAAATATAATGACGTAATAATAAAGTGAATAGTAATAATAATAATAATAGCAACAAGTTGTTGTAGTTTTTATTGTTGTTGTAGCTGTTGCTGTTGTTGTTGTTTGTTGTTGTTGTTTGTTGCTGTTGCTGCTGTTGTTGTTGTTGTTGTTGTTGTTGTTTTTGTTGTTGTTGTTTGTTGTTGTTGTTGTTTTTGTTGTTGTTGTTTGTTGTTGTTGTTGTTGTTGTTGAATATTATCGTTTTATTATTTTTTTATTCTTATCAAAATATGCCCGCAAAGAAAGAATAGGTAAACAATTATGTATTAGTTTCAATCCTTGTTTGTCGCACTTGGATGAACAGACATTATTGGTCGGCCATATTGTTTTACTTTTATTTCTTTGTTTTCTTTACAGTTCTTTACATTTCTTTACATTTTCTTTAATATTCGGCCAAGTTACTTCTATCTTACTTTTATTTCTTTGATTTTTTATTAATTTCTTTTTATTTCTTTTTGATATACATTTTTATGTTTCTCGCTCCAGCTGGCCTAACATCATCCAGAGGCGTATGATACAATGGGTTTTTACAGTATTAAAATTTTGGTCCTCTGATACATATCTGATATACCTATTAAGTGAAGTAGATATTTTCTATCACTTTCAAAATGAAGTATATCTAATCCTATGATACATTTCTGATATATCCACTAGATAAAATTGATATCTTTGACTACTTTCTATAATAAATATAAGAAATTTTGATGGACAAAAACTTGTTATTAATTAATTGAATTATCATATATTTGTATGAGAATTCAATTAATTTATAACCCACAAAGACATACGTACGTAGAGAAAGTTATTGTACTCATGTGATAGAAATAATTAAACTTATAATATTAATAGTAGTAATTTATAAATAATCGTCAACAAACACTATCACAGCACTGCACTCATATAAACTAATTATACCCCTTGATGCCTCTAATTTCCTGAAAAGATTTATTTAACGTTGATTAATTACATAACGCAAAGACGTGTGAGGTGAACTACTCGCTGAGTGGGAAGAAATTCATGAAAAATCACCTAGAACACTGGCGGTGCTTGCTAGGTAGGGTATGACGCTTAATGTGTGCGAACGGCAAATGATTCACGAATTATATGTATTTACTACTTTCATCTGTGTGTGTGTGTATCTGTCTTTCTCCCTTTCTCTCTCTCTCTCTCTCTCTCTCTCTCTCTCTCTCTCTCTCTCTCTCTCTCTCTCTCTCTCTTTCAGTACTACGATAAATCATTTGCCAATCGAGTTAATTAATTTTATGTCAGAATTTTGTTCTTTGTTTAATTTAAACTTATTGTGAATTTTTTTTTATTTGTAGGAAAAAATATCGTCTGCGAAAGCACGTAACATCCCGGGATAAATATTTTGTTAAACTTTATGGCTAATATTATTCATAAACAAATCTATCTCTGAGTGGTTTTCATAGAATTCTAAACATTGATTTTTGCCACTAAAGATATATCAAATTTTAAAATTTTAAAAACAAACATGCTATGACGCCATGAGTTCACCTGCTTTATGAGGCACTCACTTTTCTAAATTATACTCAAACATATTTATACACACATCCGAATAATATTTCCAACAGTGAATTTTTATTTTTTCCTACGCTCTGTTTCAATGTACGCTCCCGCAACAATTTATTCCGAATGTTTTATCATAAGCTCCATCTTAATCAACGTACCGGGAGAGTCTGTCGTTTTAACGTCGCGAGCTCTGTGTGTCTCTAAAGAGCAGTACCATGTTCTTATTTTGAAAAATAAAAAAATATTCATGGGTATAATTGAATAATTAAATGGATATAATTGTTAAAAGTGAATGAATTAACTAACAAACCGATGAAAAATCAATTAGAAAATGGATAAACAAAACAAAAAGCAAATTTGTGAACGATACAACACAAACGTATTTCATTTATTCATTCGTGTAAAATACATGTAAGAGTGTATGTTGTTTGTTTGTGTGTGTGTCCGTGTGTGTGTGTGTGTGCGTGTAGATGTGTGTGTGTGTGTGTGTGTGTGTGTGTGTGTGTGGATGTGTGTATGTGTGGATGTACGCACGCCCGTTGAATTTTTATGAGCACTACAAGGCTATATTAATAAGTGAAGCTTGCGTGCGTGCGGTTGCGTTTGCGTAGGAGGGATTGCATTTGTTAACAAGTGGGCGTTCATACATTTTTCATGTTTATCTGGCAGGTTTACTGAACTGCGTAATAAAAATGAAGAAACCTATAAAACCACTACAATCATCATCGTCGTCGTCGTCATCATCATCTCCGTCATCATTATCATCGTCATGGTCCTCATCATCATCAAAGATAACGATTTTTCGAAAGTTTGATTACGTCATCAAAAGATATTCAATAACAGGAAACGGAAAAGGTTCGTTGCTGGGTGGCGGATACGTGCATTTTGTGTCGCTGCGTCTCACCCTTGTTAACCTTTGCCCTGAGTTCAAATTGCATGCAAATGGAGACGACGACAGTAATGATGATGATGGTAATGATGATGATGATGATGACAACAACGATACTGATAATGATAAGGCTACTTTCAATAATGTAAACAATAGTGGTTGCGAAGATGATAATGATGATGATGAAGAAGAAAAAGATGATGATGATAACTATTATTATGATGATGATGATTGCTGTGAAGTGGGTTTGAGAATTGAACTTGACCACGAATTGATTATCGATCGGATTGTAGATTTTAATAATAATAATAATAACAATAACAACAAAAATAATATTAATAAAAATAACAACAAATATTTTCCAAATAAAATAAATAATTTAAATTGCTCGAAGAGTAAAAATAATAATAATGACAATAATTATAACAATAACTATAATAACTATAATAATAATAATAACAAGAGAAACAATGCGACCAATTACAAGCCCAATATTCACAAAGAAAAAATTTCTTTGACACCAAAACTCCTCTCCATTAGCAATCCTTTCAAAATTAAAAATAATAATAGTAATAATAATAATAACATAATTAATAATAATAACAACATAATTAATAATAATATAAATAATAATAACGAGAGTAATGTATATTATGATGGGGATGATGATGTTGATGACCATAAAAATTTGCCTGACTATCCCGACCTTTGGTCGTTGGCATTGTCCGGAGCAAGATTTGTTGGAAATTACGAAAGTGTAATTTTTAACGACGAGTTTGTTGATTTGTCTTCCTTGAACGGCAACAACAACAACAACATCAACAACATTGATTTCGGCTCTAACATTAATGACATCAACCTTGACAATAACCACTACATCAACAGTTACTACAACAACAATTTTACGATACCTTACGACAAAGATTGTAATATGGCGTTCTGTTTGAATGGCGGGAAAGTTGTCGGCCATTTTGTAGGAAGTGGATGCATGTGCAACTGCCTGGCTACAAACTACCATGGCAATCGCTGTCATCTTGGTTTGTGAGTTTGTCTGCCTGTTTGTTTGTTTGCTTGTTTGTATGTTTGTTTATGTGTTTATTTGTTTGTTTACACGAATGATAACTTTGTAATTTTTAATAGTGATGCGGTTAATGATGACGACGACGACGATGGGGATAATGATGGGAATGTAGTTAGTACATCGTATCGTCATTGTCGAACTTGTTTAGCAACAATCCTTCATCATTTGGTTTTTATTAAGAAAAACGAGAAGTGAATGATAAATTGTATGTATGTGTATATGAACTTGTGTATGTTATGTAGCACAGAGGAAATACCGGTTTCTACAATTCTTTATATGATTTTTAAATTCTTTTTGGCATTTTACATGACTGTTGGTTATCACGTTAATGTAATTGATGTTATTTGATCTCTTGCTCTTTTGATCATCTGCTGGCATGAACTCATCTTTTTTAGCATCACCGTGGGTTAGACTGAATAGTGGACAGCGTGTCACGTGGTTTCGGCTGCAAGAACAATCTCAGCAACACCAGCTACAACGACAACAGCAACGAAAACAACTGTTTCCACACAGGCAACAACAACAACAACACATACAACAACAACAAAAAAGGCAAGCTAGGCAAGCCGAATTCGTTTATTTTCGTTTTCAAACGACAAAGACGACGTTTTGGAAGAAATCAAAATATAAATACAACCAATTCAAACAACAACAACAACAACAGCAACAACAACATCAACAACAACAACAACAACTGTTGTTGCAACACGTGTTGACTCTACATAACGAGGACTTTGGCAGTTTTGTACAGTTCTGTATTTACAACTCAACGACCCTCCAAGTCGCCGTTAACATAGAGGATCATTTCGAAGTAATGACATTTAAATTTTAATAATCTGGAGAAATAAAATTTCTAACTTTGTATTTAATTTATGCCATGTACCTGAATGTATGTGTGTATGTATGTATGTGTGTGTGTGTGTGTGTGTGTGTGTGTGTGTGTGTGTGTGTGTGTATGTGTATGTATGTATGTATGTATGTATGTATGTATGTATGTATGTATGTATGTGTGTATGTATGTATGTATGTATGTATGTATGTATGTATTATTATTATTATTATTATTATTATTATTATTATTATTATTAAAGATCATTTATATAGCGCTAATTAAAAAAAGAAAAGAAAAATCTCAAAAGCGCTCACATCAGTAAAACATTATACGAGTGGATAAACAAAACAAAAACGTACCGAAAATTTTAAACTAAAGAAAATAAATGAGTTTTTAAATCCTTTTTGAAATTGTCAAGAGAAACTCCTGGTATTCTCAGTGGATCTGGCAGAGCGTTCCAAATCATCGGTCCGGCAACAGCAATATCACGCAATCCCGTCTGCAAACGATGAGCTGGTTCCATCAAAAGGTTCCTATCATCTGATCTTAAACTGGTGTTCGTGGAGGATGTTTTCTTGACAAACCGATCGGACATATAATCTGGAGCCAAGCCATTTAATGATTTAAATGTTATTAATGCTATTTTATAGACTATCCTTTTATTGATTGATAACCAGTGAAGTTGATTCAATATCGGCATAACATGATCAAACTTTAGGTTGCCTGTCACCAGTTTAGCCGCACGATTCTGAACTGATTGCAGAATAGCTATTGATGTCTGGGGTAATTTGTAAAACAAGCTATTACAATAATCAAGGCGGGACGTTATAAGAGCATGTACCAATGTTTCTATATCAGTCCTGTCTAAATATCGTCTGACTCTGTACAAGCCTCTAAGATGAGCCAGACTAGAAACTGATATGTTTTTGATATGCTCTTTCATTGTAAGATGAGAATCAAACAAAACTCCCAAATTTGATGCGGTTTTGCTAAAAAATATTTCAAATTTTTTTACTTTTACAGAGTGAACATCTAGTTTTGATAGCTGCTGCCAAGTGCCAACCGGGAGCAACTGGGTTTTGCACTGATTCAATCTAAGAGAATTGCTTGACATCCAGCGTTCTACGTCCATCGAACATGTAACAAATCTATCTATTTCACGCTGAAACACTTGGGGCCGGCATGTTACAATCACCTGAACATCATCAGCAAACGCATGATAGTTCAATCTTTGTGAATTTATTATCTTGGCTAAGTCCGAAGTGTATAGCAAAAACAGAATGGGTCCTAACACCGAACCTTGAGGGACCCCAGAAGATACCACGCTTATTTCTGATGAAACATCCTTAAACTGAACTTGCTGAGTACGGTCTAGTAAGTAAGACTGGAACCATGCAGATGCCGGATCACAAAATTATAATATAACTTCTTCAACAATATACTGTGATTGACGCAATCAAATGCCGCTGTCATATCCAGGAATGACAACAGTGAAATATTCTGGGCATCCATTTCTGAAATCAGTTTGGAAAAAACATGTAACAGCGCCGTCTCTGTCGAATGAAATCGCCTGTAGCCTGACTGGTGAATTGGCATAAGGCCGTTTTTTGTTAAATGAGTCAACAGACTTTCAGCAACAACACGCTCAATTATCTTTGAAATAAATGAAAGATTCGATATTGGCCTATAGTTTGAAATATCATTACCATCCAAATTATTTTTTTTCAAAATTGGTTTAATCACCGCATGCTTCAGACCACAAGGAAACTGTCCTGATTCCAGACATAAATTAACAAAACTGGTTAGGTAACTGATAAACAAGTCAATATGTTTTTTTAAAATGTGTGTCGGAATTATATCAAGAACACTTGTTTTTGATGGTGAACCATTTATAATCCTTTTGAGATCAGTCTGAGTAATTTTTGGCAACGATGAAAGGCAGTTGATATTTGAACTATTGTCATCGAGTGATGTATCATAATCAACATCTGTGGTACGAATAATTTTATTTGTTTTATCAACAAAAAAACGCATGAATTCAGAAGGAGTCAGGTTTAGATCAACATCAGAATTGATATTATTCTTGTCTCCGCATAGGATTCTGTTAGCTGCCTGCCAAAAATCTTTAGAATTGTTGATGTTCTTAAATTGATTTTTTTCATTTCATTTTTTTCAAAAAAGCGCATTTTTTTGCCTCAATGAATTCACCCAGTTATTACGACTTGTAGCTGATGAACATTTTCTATAATGTCTTTCAAGTTTCCTGCACACTCTTTTTGCACGCAAACAATCCGCATCAAACCATGGTGCAGCATGATTACATTTGATATGAATCTCCCGGAGTGGAACTAATTTGTCAACTATACTTTTTAGTTCATTCTCAAACAACATCAGTTCAGCTTCAACATCACTCCCCTGACATGTACCCGCAATAGCCGATTTTAAGATGCTTTCTTTGAACTGATCTTCATCTAGATCTTTCCATGATCGAGCCAATTTCTTGACAAAATTACCGCATGGTCGAGGAATCGTTATTTTTGCTACTATGCAACCATGGTCGGAGTATACTTCACTGGGATGAATCGATATCTCAGCCACAAAAAAACTACGGGAGCTGACAATAAGGTCCAGTGTACCACCATGAGAATGAGTTTTGCCTTTCACATGGTTGACCAGATCAAACATATCAAATATTTCTAACAAACGTATTGTATGAGGGTCATCCATTCTCTCCACATGAACATTAAAGTCACCCATCAAGATAATATTCGAGTTCATCATTATAATGTGTTCTAATACTGATATAAGTTCGTTAAAAAAAACGTAGATATTTGTGCTGAACCAGGTCTGTATATGGATAGCAATATGAAATTATATCGTTCTATTTTTAACTTTATTGCAATGGCCTCAAAAGTAGTGAACACCGGCAGAGTTATTTTATTACAACCAAAAGTGGATCGGAAATAAATAACCAATCCCCCGTGTGCAGGATCATGCGGTCTTACAAAATCGACAAAGGAGGAACCAGGTGGCTTGGCCAACCCAACTGCAACATCACCAGCCAACCCATGCCATGTCTCCACTAACACCAAAACATCCATACCACTGTAAATCAATTCATAAATACTATCAACTTTCCCAACCAATGACCTAATATTTAATAAACCAAAAATCACAAAATCATTTGAGATGCCATAATTATCTTTATGCTTTAAGTTACAATCATTAAAAACCAATGTACTTATATTCGATCTAGCGCCCAATTTACCACCTATTATTGCTATATCTTTCCTGCTGGTATTTTCACAACCCGCCACTTTCCCACATCTCCTCGAACTTTGAACAAAAAATCCCCTTTACTATCAACAGTCTTTTTCTGAGCCTCCTCAAGGAATTTTTTTAATTCATTTCTTTGTTCTCTGGTAAGATCATGACTTAACCTTACCTGAGCGAGATTCATCACCAATTGTTTTCATTTTACCTATATTTTTAAAAAGTAATCCTTGAGTCTTAAATCATCAAATTTTAGCAATATTGGTCTAATGACATGTTCACTTCTTTTACCAATTCTTATTAATTTGATGACATTCTTGTCAGTTATAACACCGTCAGAAAGGTGGTTAAGGATCTTCAAAACGTGTTTTTTGTCAGCATCACTTTCTTTCAAGCGGAAGATCATCATATTATTCTCGCGTTCCTTTTGTTCAGCCGATTCGTTTAATGTTTTTTGCAAACATTTAACCTCTGTATTTATCACATCAACATTTTTCTTTACCTCGATATTTATTACATCGATGTTTTTTTTTACTTCACGACTGACGACCTCAGACCAGGAAGATTTTAATTCAGTTTTGAAATTTTTGAAATTCGCGTAATTCTACTCTTGATTTTTCTAACGTACGCAATTCATTATTATCTTCAGCAACAAGTTTCACTTTGATATCATTAATTTCGGACTTCATGCTTTCATTCATTTTATGTAATTTACTTATCTCTTTAAGCAAAACTTTATTATTTTCATCAAAATTCTTTACCAGTTGCTCTACGGATGGCAAGGAATCAATGCAATATCACATTTAAAGATTAAGTTGCGACATTTCTTTATGAAGTCATAATCTTCACTTGTCATCGACAAACATTTGTAACGAAATGATTCTCCACATTGAGCACATCGCAAACCTGAACAAAGTTCGTGATAAATCAATTCACACAGTTTACATTGCTGACAGTCTTTATTAGTAGTGTTTTTACATTTACATTTGTCTCGGGTACCCATAATGTACGTACACAAAAACAACAACACAGGTAAACCTATTAATTGAACTAGTTTTCAAAACAATGCAGATAAACTTATCCTCGTCAACGAATTACAGACAAGCAAACCAGGTCAAAATTTAAGTAAAATTTTCCAATTATAATTTAGTTTTTAATTCACTAAATTAACCGAATTTAAAACCAATTCAAAAAAACTTATAGAAAAATAACGAACTTCAACAATTTTAAAGCAACTTAAAATTACTTTGAAACAAAAATAACGCCAGAAAACCGCAAATTAACTCAAGTTTGTTATGAAATACAAGAACTACCACTCGCACCATGACACACACACTGTTAATGGCATGTACCTAATGTATGTGTGTATGTATGTATGTGTGTGTGTGTGTGTGTGTGTGTGTGTGTGTGTATGTGTGTATGTGCATGTATGTATGTATGTATGTATGTATGTATGTATGTATGTATGTATGTATGTATGTATGTATGTGTGTATGTATGTATGGATGTATGTATGTATGTATGTATGTATGTATGTATGTATGTATGTATGTATGTATGTATGTATGTATGTATGTATGTATGTATGTATATATTTGTATATTATGTATAATAAGCAATGGACCTTTGCATATATAAGTATTCATTCAACGTTAGATGGCTGGCTGGCTAGATGGTTTGTTCCATTTGGTGGTTTTATGTTGTTTTTGTAGGTGTTGTTGTGTGTAGCTACATTGTTGATGTTGTCATTTTTTGTGTTTTTGTTGTTGTTGTTGATGTTGTTGACGTAGTTGTTTTTGTTGACATTTTTGTTGTTGTTGTTGTTGATTTTTCTGGAGAGAAAATTTTTTTATTATCTCTAAAAATGTTTCATTATTGCTAAGAAAGCATGTGCCAATCTTGCTAGAAATAATTTGTCTTAATTACAAATAACATCAGAAATATTGTCATAAATTGTCTTAATAATCCTAATTTTGCTTAAAATGATGATAATAATAATTATTATTATCATTATTGTTATTTAAAAAAATTTCCGTATTTAATTTTGGATATTTAAAAAATTGGTCATCTAAAGTTACATAACATTATATCGAGCTGATTTATAAAAATTTGGTGTTTCGAATTGTCGAAAAAACTTTTGATGTTTCCGTAATGAGAGGATTTTCTGCCTGGGGATGCTGTTCGTTCGTTCGTTCTTTCGTTCGTTCTTTCATTTGTTCGTTGTTTGTTTATGTATGAAAAACTGATTTTGTTGTAGTTAAATGTTGATGGATATACATTGGACACATGGACATACAGGTAAACAAGTTTTTGTGTGTTTGTGCGAATTTATATTCAAATTTTTTTTTAATACAACATTATTTTGTCTTAAAAATCATTAAAGCGAAGAAAAAAAAGTATGCATGTATTCGTGTGTGTGTGTGTGTGTGTGTGTGTGTGTGTGTGTGTGTGTGTGTGTGTGTGTGTGTGTATTTCAATTCAATATTTTTTACATGAAATCTAATTTCTTCTGAAAAAAACATTAATGAGCACAAAAACTGTTTTACGAACTGACATAAAAAAAGGGTAAAAGAACGCAAACCCGATGGCAACTTCACCATCCTGAGACACTCTAATGAAGCGAGTCATTAATTTTAATCTTTGGGGAAATTTTCTGAGTAAAAAACACGCTTTGCTTCATTCATGTCGTTACCAAATGAACTTTTTCATTTCATTACTAAAAAGCATTTTTCATTTCATTAATAAACAATTTATTTCAATTTATATTTGATGACGTGAGATATGACAGTTCATGTTGTCTCATTATTTCGAAGATCTCAAACTTTGTGGGAAAGAATTTTTTATCGGGTATACGAGTTCATATAAGCTAATCTAATATAATGAAATTTATCATGAAACTTGTTTTAAATTAACGGAACTTTTTTCCGAAATTATTCTAAATAAACATGTTTAAAATGTTTAAAACTGTGTGTAAATGAAAATTAAATGTCTCAGCTTGGTGGGTAGGAAGAGATGGGATGAATTGAAAATAATCAGATGTCATTGATGAAGATTTGTGTTTCGATCCGTGTTGGAGTTTTTTGTGTGTTGCTGGCTTCATCTTTATTTCATTTCGTTTTCAAGAAATCAGACTCTAGCAGCGAAATTGAAATCTTCCACCAGATACTGTGTAGTAAATTAACTTAAAATGAAAATTTACTAATTTATTGCGTGAAATAATCATCGTGGCGTTTTCTTTCGAAATGTTTTTCAGTGCCACTGAATTCGGAAAAGAGCGTTAAGTGTATAAAGTTATAAAAAGTGAACTGTCTTTTTTTCTTTTTTTTTTATTGTGACTTTTTTTTATAAAAAAACTTTTATTTTTAAATACAGATTGAAAGATAATTTGATTACCCTTCTGCTTTCAAGAGATTGAATTTGGTTTTAGGAAGTTTTTTTGATAAATACCAAATCATCAAAAACGTGTTAACTTTCAATTTTCTGACACTATGTTTTATCATGTAACCTTGTTGAAGCAGTAGTAGTCGTTGTGGTTATGGTAGTAATAGTAGTAGTAGTAATTTTCGCAGTAGTAGTAGTAGTTGTTGTTGTTGTTGTAGTAGTAGTGGTATTAATAGTAGTAATGGTAGTAGTAGCAGTAATGGTAGTAATAGTAGTAGTAATAGAGATAGTAGTAGTAGTGGTAGTAATAGTGGTAGTAGTAGTAGGTATTAGTAGCAGTGGTAGTAGTAATAGTAGTAGTAATAGAGGTAGTAGTAGTAGTGGTAGTAATAGTGGTAGTAGTAGTAGGTATTAGTAGCAGTGGTAGTAGTGGTAGTAGTAGTAGTAAATTCAGATGTAGCATTGCTTATGTAAATTTGAATGCTCCACTTTATGCGGAGCCATCTTATTTATGATCGTCGATTTTCAAAATTACGCGGCAACTACAACTATCATCATTTGATTTGTTAGTGAAAAAATTTAAATATTTTTACTGCTGCTACTACTACTACAACTGCTGCTGCTACTACTACTACTGCTACTACTACTACCACTACTACTACTACTACTACTACTACTACTACTACTACTACTACTACTACTACTAATATTACTACTATTATTACTACTACTTTTTATTGTTATTAATTAATAGGATTGTCAAAGAAAACACAGCACAACAAACTCAGCAAGTCTTCTATGTACAACATCTTCTCTGGTTCAATATGGCCGATTAATCTTTTGATTTATGTGTCTTGAGATGAATAATTGGATTAATTGATTGATGATTAGTCAGTTGGTCATTTGATTGATTTGTTGATTGGTTTCTTGGTTGACTTTGAAGGTTAGTTGATTGATTGATTGATTAACTGACTGACTGACTGACTGACTGACTGACTGACTGACTGACTGACTGACTGACTGACTGACTGACTGACTGACTGACTGACTGACTGACTGACTGACTGACTGACTGACTGACTGACTGACTGACTGACTGACTGACTGACTGACTGACTGACTGACTGACTGACTGACTGACTGACTGACTGACTGACTGACTGACTGACTGACTGACTGACTGACTGACTGACTGACTGACTGACTGACTGACTGACTGACTGACTGACTGACTGACTGACTGACTGACTGACTGACTGACTGACTGACTGACTGACTGACTGACTGACTGACTGACTGACTGACTGACTGACTGACTGACTGACTGACTGACTGACTGACTGACTGACTGACTGATTGATTAATTGATTGATTGATTAATTGATTGATTGATTAATTGATTGATGGATTGGCATGATATCTTTTTGATTAGCTGGTTGAATTCTCGCTGGCACATGTTTTGATGTAGATATTCAAATGCATCCCTGGTGCTCCAGTGTTGATGGATTGGAATTTTTTTCAATAAATTCTGCCTATATAATCAATTTCCCATACTACGAATTGCACACGTGTGCATATGTTCGTCGCCAGAATTTTACGTAACTTTCTTTAACGTTACATTTTAATATTATTTATTTATCTATCTATCCATCCGTCTATCCATCCATCTATCTAGGCATGTACTCATCCAACTAACTATCCATCCATTTTTCAATCCGTCCATCCAACCATCCATCCATCGTTTTTTTCATTTTTTTCAACAGAGACCTCGACCTAAACGTATTTTTCTGCTCCGAAGGAAGTCTTTTGATGTTCCTTCGTTATGGCGACTGGCCTCGTCATCATCATCCATCTTGCTTCATCACGCCATCACTGTTTCCGCTTCGTCTGACGTCACAGCGGCCATATTGTTTCGTCGTTGGCGTTGTTTGTTTATTTTTCTCACATTGTATTCTACGCGCGTTTGTTTCAGTTTCTTTGTTTCCTGATTTTTCAATTTCTTTGTTTCCGCATATTCACGATAATGAG